CCTGGGTTCTGTCTGGATTTGGGGTTCAAGAAACTTCCAAGGAGCTGCCCCACTCTGCTGTCACCATGGTGCAGCTGCCCCAACCCTGGCCAGCTCTGAGTCTTGGTGGCTCTCCCTGGTTCGGGGTTTGCCTTTTTCCCCTCTAGCTGATTCAGTCTGAAGGAGTTTGGGGTCACAGGGTTTGGCGCCCTCCTGACCTCCAGCTCTCCGTGCACTGCATAAGTGAGCGTGGGCGCTGAGGGCAGACATGGTTTCTCTTCAGGGCAGAGCAGGAAACTAGATGCTCTGTGCTCTCTTCACAGATGATGCCCCGAAAGTCACTGGGTTATCTTGGTGACCGGACCGTGTTGGTTTCTATTTTCCCATGCGTGCCGTGAACATTTCTGCATGCCCAGTAATGCGAAAAGCATGCTGGATCTTTTCTTGACCCTTTTTCATTAGTGATTGAAATATTTTTTCAAGATTGCCATGCAGCTGCACGCTTTCATTTCACTTCTGGGGATCATTTGATGGGGGAGTGGAGGCTGGGACAGTAGGTTAGGGGCCTCCTGTGTGGTGGGGGGATGTTGGTTGGCAGCAGAAGCTGGGAACCCTGGCTGCTACACCAAGCCTCCCAGCTCTGTGCGGTTTCCAGGGTATTTCCCACAGAACCCCCAGTTCCCACAAACCTGCGTGCATGGCCTCGCAGTTAAACACAGTGGACTCCGGCAAGCTCTGACAGGAGCGGAGGGACGTGAATCTGCCCTTCTGTCACCCTGCAGCTCTCCTTGGCAGAACCCAGCCGGCACCTGGCAAGGACGCCGGGCTGCCTCCCTGCCCTGGCTGCGTGAATAACACTGTGCTGTGCATGGGCGCACCCACGTGAGGTGTGACTGAAAAACGTTCATTATGGTAAAAGACACATTGCCGTCGACCACCTCAAAATTCTCCCTCTCATTGCACACATACTCTTCCTGTCCTTCTTGCCACTTTCTGAGGCATTATGGTAGTCCTAGTTCCTGAGTGTCATGGATTGCATTCTTATGGCTGCCTCAACATCCTGAATTGATTCAAAATGTTGACCTTTCACGGTCATTTTGACTTTGAGGCACAGCCAGAGTTATGAATACCAGAGTCAGTGAATAAGGGAGGGTAGGGACCCACTGTCCCAGACTCAGAAGCTTGCCTTACTGTTTACATGGCCCCCCGGGCAGCGGGGTATCGACTCATAAAGACACTCAGGAAAGATGACGTCTAGAACTGCTTAGAAAGTGCTCAGAACACTGGGATGGACGTTATTATGACTTAGATGTAAAATGCCCCCAGTTCTGATGTGCATGAAAGTGGACTGGGTCATTGCAGTGCCATGTCCATCAGTAGATTTGTCCACCAGCCAGTTAAGTAGCTAAATGTACTGTTAGGAGGTAGGGCCTGATGAGGAGTGGTCTGCAGCATGCTTAGAAGTCTCCCTGCTTTGCTCCGTGCTTCCTGGCTCCATAGAATGAGGGGTGGTCTTCCATTCAGGCCCTCCTATCATGCCATTTTCTTTCTTTTTTAATTTTTTAATTTTAATTTTTATTTGTGTATGTTTGCAACATAAGGAGTTGGTAGATGGACATAGCATATCTTACCTCTTTACATCTCCTTCCCCTCCACTGTGCCATTTCTGCTTTGGAGCCAACTGATCCTGGGCTGAAGTGTGAACCAAAACAACCCTCTTTACTTTGAAGACATGGGTGTGGGGCATTGTTTCTCAGTGGAAGGAAAGTGATTTGGACAGATTCTGGTCCCAGTAATGGGCTCATTGTTATGCCTGTACCTGACTATGTGATTTAGAAGCCTTTGGAACTGGTTCATGGGAGGATTCTGGAAAGGTTTGGAGATGCCTATTACAGAAGCTCTAGAAGACTGTGATTGGCACTTGATGGGAGATTCTGATCAGAGTGCAAAAGATCAGAATGCTGATAAAAATGCAGACAGTTAAGGCTAGGCTCTGGGGTTTCAAATGGTAGCAAGGGCTCTACTGGCAATTGTGTTTCAAACCATGTGTTCTATGCTCCAGTAATTAGTCTGCATTTTGCCTATGTCCTGAGACTTCATCAGAAACTGAGATTAAGGGCTGTGGATTAGTTGTTCTGGTGGAGGCGATTTCATAGCAGACCAACATCAGGCTGTGACTTTGGTAGCACTGGTGGCTTTTAGAAAGATCTACAGTGAAAACCAGGAACAAAAAGCAGATGTGAAAAGTTTGAAGTTTTATTAGAAAAGCAGTGCTTGCAGTTTTGGCCTGGGACAGGTTGGTTGATAAAAAGATTAGCATTAAAAAGAAGCTAATTACTTTGCATCAGGACAATAGGAAAGATGCCTTGCTAGTATCTCAGAAAACAATCAGACCCCATTCTTAAAAGGGTGCAAGCTATAAAGCTTTCATTTGATAAGAGAACCATTTGGCCTCCTCTAGAAGGGCATCTAGTGAATAGGCACCTAGGGAGTTGGCTCCTTGGAATTCATTGACAGGGCTCTGCCATCCAGGCACTCTGAGGCCACTGCATCCATGATCCAAGGAGGCCTGACTAGTGCTCAAGTTGGTCCCAGACCTTGGCATCACCTGGGTGATGCTGGTTTTATAGGCAAGCAGAATGCAATAATTATGGGTCATGTAGGCTTCCATGTGGATTTTAGACTGAGGTCTGGGAAGCAAGGCAGTGTGCCCCCAGGAGAGCAGTGTGTAAAGCTGGGAAACCCAGGAAGTTGAAGTGGAGCATCTGCTGCAGGTAGTGAGCAGAGCTGCACCATGAGGACTGCAGCTAGCAGCACCACTGGGTGAGGCTGCCCAACCCTTGAGAGCTCACAGCCTGCCACGGCCTGGCCCCGGTGCTGGACATTGAGCTAAAGGATGTTAGCCCTGTGGGATTTTGATCTGGCTTTGGTCCCATTCCTTTCTATGTCTCTATTTCCCCTTTTTGGAATATTTACCCCGTGTCATTGTGTGTGGACTGTGTTTAACTGTTTTTTAAATTGAAAAACTTCGTTTAGTGTTTAATGTTCTTTTTGATTTTTAGAGGGGTTCATGGATAGGAGTTTGTTGTGAGTATCAGAGGAGACTTTGGACTTCGACTTCTTAGCAGTGGCTCTCTCTGCTCCTCCTTGGAGTCAGGTTTGTTCAGGTTCCGTATCCATCCATGTTTAGAAGACGCTGTTTTGTTGCTAGAGTTGTTTGAGGTCCTTACACATTTCGGAGTTAGCCTCTCGTCTGAAACGTGCTTTGCAGACATCCTCTCCAGTTCGCCGGCTGCTTCCTGCAGGACGGTTTCCTCTGTGTGCAGAGTACTCATTTCATTGCTCCCACTTGCCTGTTTCGGGCTTTGCTGCTGCCGTCTTCATGAGGATCTGAAAACCCTGGCCAAGGCCAATGTCAAAGGCTTCTCCTGTCTTTGTCTGGCACTTTTATAGTCTCAGATCTTCAGCAGTTTTTAGTCAATTTTGCATGGGGTGTAGATAAGGGTTGGTACCGTTCCTCTGCATGTAAATATCTGGTTTTCCAGAAGCTGTTTATAGAGAAGAATTCCTCCCCACGCTGCCTTCTTGGTGGTCTTGCTGAGAGGTAGCTGACCCCATGTACTTGGGCATATTTCTGGGCATTTCACTATGTTCCATTGGTCTGTGTGTCTGTTTTCATAAAGAAATGAACTTGCATTGAGTATAGAATTTGAGCTGGGTGTTGTGGAACAGGCCTGTAATCCTAGTACTCTGGAGGCAGAGGCAGGAGGATTTTGAGGTCAAGGCCAGCCTTGACTACAAAGTGAGTCTCTGTCTTGCCCCATGCCAATGAATGACACTTCTGTTAACTGACCCCACCCATTCTCTGGTCCTGCCAGCGCCCCTTCTCTTCCTCAGCTGCCCTTCCTTAGGGTCTGAGTCCTTGCTGCTCCTCCCGGGTACCCCTGACTGCAGAGCTCTTCTGTGGAGCCTTGGGTCTGCAGTTGTACCCTGATTTCTGCACGAGCAGATGCCTTCATCACTGAGAGGTGAGAGTGACTGGGTGTGATTCTGTGGCAGGGGCCCTGTCAGGACCAAGCTCTGCTCCCAGCTTCATGCCCAGTGCCTTAGCCCCCCCCCTCAATCCAAGGAATGGCTGATACCCAAGATTTAGAGCAGAAGAAGTTCATTCTAGTTCCTGGTTTCAGCTGTGGTGATGGTCGGCTGGCTCCAAGGCAGAGCAATGTGGAAGGAAGGGCCTGGGGAGAAGCTGCTCGGCCCTTGGCAGTGGGGAGCATGGTGGGGAGAGCCAGGGACAGCACCCACCCTCCAAGCCTTGCCCAGTGATATCTGCTAGCCAGGTCTCCTCCTGCCTGCAGGTCAGTGCTGATGCACTGTTGATGGATCTGCTGTTGAGTGTGGTGCCCCATGGTCCTGTGGACTTTCCCATGGGAGCCTTGGGGATATTTGAGAACTAGGCCCTAGCACCAGCTGTGTGCCCAGGCCTTCCTTGGAGGAAGGGGCTATCTTTGCTCCCACAATACAGAGCAGGATGGAGGCCCTCGAGGTCCCCGATGTGGACCCTGGTGCTGACTGAGACTCAGTGAACTGGCCTGCAGCCACTGGGGCGCAGGACATGGCCTGTGTCCCACAGCAGTGGGGGTGAGAAACGCCCGGCCGCTGCCTCCCTGTCTGGCCACCACCCCCAAAGCCCTCAGGCCAGCCCTGTCCAGCCACCTCTGCCTACCCAGCTGGCAGTGAGATCCAACACCCCAGGGCAGCTGTGGGTGTCACAGGAACCGAGCAGAGCCCCAGCCTCCCGAAGGCGCCATTGGCACAGCATGGAAACCCAGCTGCGGGCTCAGCCCTGCTGTGATGCAAGTCCCTGTGCCACGTGGAGCCACATCCTTCCTGTGCCTCAGGCTGGGCCACTGCAAATCGGTGTCATTTCCTCTCTGCTGTCCCTCAGCCTGGTGTCGGGGTGAGTCCAGCTCTTGCAGGGGGTTGTGTGGGTGGCTGGGCCGGGCGAGCAGGCCTGTCCTGCTGTGGGTGAGGTGTGTCCTCCGGCTCCTCTACTATCTCAAGGGCTGTGGGGTGGGAGGGTGGCACTGCTGACATCTGGGTCCCCTGAAGGAGTGGCAGGTGCTGAGCCTCACAGGAGGCTGGGAAGTCAGGGTGAGGACATCGGAAGTGGGATTGCAGGACGCTGCACGAGGGCCCAGGTTCCCAGCAAGGCGGGAAGGCAGCAGGGGTGGAGTGGGGACAGCAAACCAGGAGGGCACAGCCTGAGCCAGTCTCTGCCTTGCTCATCGCCTTGGTGACACTTTCACCAAATCCAGCAGAAGGAATTAGGTCTGCAGCATGCTAAACAAAGCTGGATCGCTCACCTGTGCCAGCTGGGAGGGTAGCGCCCAGGGCCCTGGGGTCTGCTTGCCTTTAGCTTCTGTTTTTTTAAGTTTTAGTGAGGTGCTGGGGATGTAGTTCAGAGGTAGAGCACTTGCTTAGCATGTGAAGTTCAATTGCCAGCACTGGAAAAAAATTTTTTTTGTGGTGCTGGGGATTGAACCACTTTTTAATCTTTATTTTGAGATGGCATTTTTCTAAGTCACTGAGTTGCCAGGCTGGACTCAAACTGGCTATCTTCCTGCCTCAGCCCCCTAGTGCTGGGATCACGGGTGCACCGGTTGCAACAGGTAGGTAATGGTGGAAGATGCGGTCCCCACCCCTGGTCCAAACCCTGGCCCTGCTTCTTTCTGGCTGCAAACTGTAGGATAAGACTCTTAGCTGTCTACAGCTCTGTCTTTATCCAAAGGGAATTTGCGTTCCTGCTGAGCAGCCCCGGGGGTGAAGCTGAGGGCGGTGCCAGGAGGCACAGCTGTGCCTCATGTTCTGGGCATACCCACCTCGGTTCCTGTGGATGAAGGAGGGGAGGGGACCCTCCTCTGTGCACCCTCCCCACTCTCCATCCTGGCCCAGGCCCCAGGAATCCTCTCCTGGCCTCTGTCGTGCTGTCCCGTCCTCTGTGGAGCTGCAGCCTTGGACTAGAAGGGGTGAAGAGTGGCTCAGCTGCCTCTGGGCACAGAGCAGGACTTCGGGGGCTGGCTGGGTCGGCCGGGTGGGCGCAGAGCTCCCAGGAGGTGCTGCCCAGTCGGCCCACTGGCTGGAGCTGTGTGTCACGCTGTGCCTCTCTTCCCTCTCCTGGGGCAGCTTTTCCACTCCTGGTCAGGTTCACTTCCGGCTTGTTTTTCAGAACAGAAAGGTGGTTTGTGAAATGATTCCCTTTGAGTTTTCTTAGTTTAAAATTTCTTAAATTGTTACGCTGCCCAGACTAGGTTCAAACTTGCCTTCCCTTCCTCAGCCTCCTGAGTGCTGCTGGCTCAGAGGCCCGTACCCTCACGCCCAGCCAAGTGGGGACCCATAAGGACTCTCCTTGCCTGGATGCCTGGGGCCCCAGTGTGGCTCTGAGCCCTGCTGAGGAGCATGACCAGCGCCCGGTGTAAGCTGGCTGGCTACCTGGAGGACCTGGACCATGTGGACTTTAAGAAGTTCAAGATGTACCTGGAGGACTACCCCCCACAGGGGGGCTGCACCCCACTCCCGAGGGGCCAGACAGAACTGGCAGACTCCATGGACCTGGCCACCGCCCTGATAGACTTCAACGGGGAGGAACGCGCATGGGCCATGGCCACGTGGATCTTTGGCGCCATCAACAGGAGAGACCTGCAGGAGAGGGCGAAGCGGGAGGAGCCACAGTGGGGTGAGTGGGTGGGCACGCAGACAGGGATGCACATCTCACTGGTGTGCAAGCATGCAGCACAACGGGAAGTGGGTTTGCACCTTGCACAACCCACTCCAGGTTCTTTGAGTCTTGCAAAACAGAAACCTCCTAGTAGTTCCACCAGAGCCTCAGTGACCAGGTCCCGACCTGCTGGAGCAGAAGGTCTGGTTTCTGTTCCTCTGCGGGCTGCTTGGGTTCCTCTTGCAAGGCTGCAGGCCATTTGTCTGTGTGACCCACTTGTTTGTGGTAGCTGAGCCCGCAGGCTTACCCATGGGTGTCCTGTCACCATCTCCTGCTGCTGTCACTGCTTCCTCTGGTGATCCTGAATGCTGCTGCTCTGTGCCTGTGTGTGTGCTGTGTTCAGTGTCTATTTTCACTGCTGCCACATGCTTGTGCCACCCACCCTTTACTGCTGTGCATGGAGCCTCAGTGTGCAAACTGATTTGGGCTCTTCTGGGTCTGTGCCTGGATGGGGGATGTGTGGCTTGGGTCGAAATACCAACTGAAGGGTTTTGAGGAACTGCTGGGCAATTTTTTCACAGCAGCTGCACAATTTGCTGTCCTCATCCATGGTACACAGGGGTTCTGACTTCTGACTTCTTCATGTCCTCATGAACATCTGGCATTCACTGCTTTTTTAGAGTAATCATTCTAATAAGTAGGAGGTGGTGGCTCTCAGAAGCTGTGGTTTGCATTTCCCTGATGACTAGTGCTGTTGGAATCTTTCTGTAGGCTTCTTGATCATTTGGGCTGCTTTTGCAGAGAGAGAGAGAGAGAGAGAGAGAGAGAGAGAGAGAGAGAGAGAGAGAGCTCTGCTGCCCCTTTTCACTTTGTGATGAGTCTCTGTTGCTGTTGACCTGTGGTGTTTTTTATGCTTGGGATATTAATTCTCATCAGATGCGTGATTTTCTCCCAGGCCGCAGGTGCTTTCACTGTTACTTCTGTCTTCATGCACAGAAATTAGTATGTGTTGCAGTTATTTCTGACAGTACGTGGGCTTTTGTTTCTTTCTTCCACGATTGTGCTGGAGAAGTTGGGGGAAGCTGTCTGCTTTCCACATCTCCTTTATCAGCCTCATGCCAGCCTGATGCCCAGGACCTGCCCCAAGGCTGCCATTTTGTCTGACATCCACTCTCACCCCAAGATGCCAGGGTCTACTTGCCTGGTTCCCTGAGTGGAGTCGCTCTTTTCCATGGCTTGGGAGGGAAGAATCGTCCAGTGCATGGGTAATGCCTTTCTGATGGCCCCACTATGAGTATGGGTATGGCAAGGAGATCCCTGGATCTCTGTGGGCATGATGGGGTGAGTGGCTTACTTCTGCGCAGGGAGGGACGCAGGAGGGCGCAGGGCAACCTGGACAGCCATGGTGTGGTGATGGTGAGCCGGAGGTCTGGGGGAGGTCAGGGCATGGCGGGCAAGGTGACATGGGGGTGGGCTGTCAGGCAGGCAGGTCACCAAGTGAGGCAACATCGACTGCACTTGGACCCCCACACTGCAGGTTGGTGTGTAACCCTCAGAACTGGATTTTTTCTGGGTCCAACCCTGCATCTGGGTCAGTGCAGTGATCCTGAAGGACCAGGCTGCCCAGGCCTCGTCTGCCCAGAGATGTAGCAGGATGAATCAGAGGGTGCCTTTCACCTGGCTGCTGTGCTGGAGCAGAAAGAGCAGAGCGAGTTTTCACATCTTTTCCTGCTCAGGTGCAGGGCTTGTGTGGGTGTGTGTTTGGGAGGTGGAAGCCTCCACAAGAGTTGTTTCTGTTGCGTGGGTCCTTGTGCATCCAGGGTGACCTGTCCTGCAATCCCCTGGGCCAGGTCTGTTTTCTGTGTCTTTGTCTCGGGGGCGAAGCTCTCACTTTCTGACTTGGGTCTCTGTCCTTATCTGTCAGTTGTGTCAGGGTCATGTGGGGGCTCTGCCTGTACCTTGGATGGGTGTGGAAGAGTCCCCAGGACCAGGATTCTGCCTTGCAGAGACTCCTGAATGAATCCAAAGTCAGCCAGGGCCACAAGCCATTACATTAGAGAGAAAGAAAATTCTGTTTCTTTTTACTGTATCCCAGAGCCAGGCTGGAGCCCCAGCCTTCAGGGCTGAGCACCTAGCTGCTCCTGGACGCCTGGCTGCCCTGAGGGCCAAGAAATCTCCCTGAGAGCACAGACCCAGCAGAGAGCAGGGAAGGGAGGCCTTCTGGGCCCCCGCCTCCTGTGGGGTCCAGAGCTCTTGTGTAGGTCTTACAACCAGGGCCCAGGCCTGGCTGGACCTCTGCCCACCTGGAGTCACAACTTTGGGCTGGAAAGCCGTTCTGCAGCTGGTCGCATGCATAGGAAACCCCTGCCCTATAGTGGAATGCGGGGGGTACCTGGGGCCTCTGCCTGCCTGCCTCATTGCCCTTAGAGTGGGGTTTCCCTTGGGAGTTTTCCAGGGCTGGGGCCTTTGACCTGCGCACCCTGAGTTAGGAGTTCTGGTTTCTGATCCGGTTTCTCCACGTTCAGATAACCCCGCGGTGGAGTGCAGGGAAGACAGCCTGGAGGAGGAGTGGCTGGGCCTCCTGGGCTTCCTTTCCAGGATCTCCGTTTGTCGAAGGAAGAAAGGTGAGCTCTCTGTGCACTGGACTTGCGATCCAGGTCGGGTGGGCTGGTGCTGGAGCAGAGGAGCTGGCAGCCCGGCCTCCCCCTTCCTCCCCCGGGGTGCAAGGCCTGGCCCAGCGGAGACAGGGCGGGGGCTGAGGGTTTGTATTGAGAGGTGCGAGCTGCAGAGGAAGGAGGTGCCTATGGAGGGACCTTGCTGTGGCCGCTCCCTGTTTGTGGAAGGGCCAGCTCAGAGTTCCTGGGCTCCTCACAAACAGGCAGTGAACAAGAGCCCCCCTCCCCATCCCCGGTCCGGATCGCCAGTGTCTCTGGCGCTGTGCTGTTGCCATGCTGTTAGGAAAGCAGACGCCTTGCAGTGAATTCGTCTGCGTACGGTGCACGACGAGGTGTGTGCGCGGGCTCTGGGCCACGTACGCGCATTAGCACTCCTGGATCTTCGCCCTCCCGACCCTGAGCTGAGCGGGGGTCCCTGTTGCTGCCTAGCCCAGCGCCCGAATCTCTGTCGCTGCAGATTTCGGCAGGGCGTACAGACGACACGTGAGGAGCAGGTTCCACTGCATCGAGGACCGGAACGCGCGCCTAGGGGAAAGCGTGAACCTCAACAAGCGCTACACGCGCCTGCAGCTGGTCCGGGAGCATCCCAGCCGGCAGGAGCGGGAGCGGGAACTACTGGCCATGGGCGGAGGCAGGCTGCGGGACAGCCCATTGGGCCCCCTGAGGCTGGAGTCACTGTTTGACCTCGACCCCGAGGACGACTCCCCGGAGCCCGTGCACACGGTGGTGGTGCAGGGCGCGGCCGGCATTGGGAAAACCATCCTGGCCCGGAAGCTCATGCTGGACTGGGCTTCAGGGAAGCTCTTCCAGGACAAGTTCGACTACCTGTTTTACATCCACTGCCGCGAGGTGAGTCTCGCCACGCCCCGGAGCCTGGGGGACCTGATCGCCAGCTGCTGCCCGGATCCCAGCCCCCCGATGGGCAGGATCATGCGCAAGGCCTCCAGGATCCTGTTCCTCATGGATGGCTTCGACGAGCTGCAGGGCGCCTTTGACGAGCACGCTGAGGCGCAGTGTACGGACTGGCGGGTGGCCGCTCCGGGGGACGCTCTGCTGGGCAGCCTCATCCGAAAGAGACTGCTGCCGGAGGCCTCCCTGCTTATCACCACGCGGCCAGCCGCGCTGGAGAAGCTGCAGCACCTGCTGGAGCGGCCGCGCCACGTGGAGATTTTGGGCTTCTCAGAGGCCAGGCGCCGGGAGTACTTCTTCAAGTACTTTTCGGGGGAGGCGCAGGCCCGCGCTGCCCTGGCGCTGATCCAGGAGAATGAGGTACTGTTTGCCATGTGCTTCATCCCCCTGGTCTGCTGGATCGTCTGCACCGGGCTCAAGCAGTGCATGGACAGCGGCGAGAGCCTAGCTCAGACCTCCAAGACCACCACGGCTGTGTACATTTTTTTCCTGTCCTGCCTGCTGCAGGCCCGGGGCAGCGGCCACGAAAACCGGCTCTCTGCACAGCTCCGCGGGCTCTGCTCTCTGGCCGCTGCAGGCATCTGGAACCAGAAGGTCCTGTTTGAGGAGTGTGAGCTCAGGAGCCACGGCCTGCAGGAGGGGGCCGTATCTGCCTTCCTGAGGATGAGCCTGTTCCAGAAGGAGGTAGACTGTGAGAAGCTCTACAGCTTCATCCACATGACCTTCCAGGAGTTCTTCGCAGCGATGTACTATGTGCTGGAGGAGGAGGATGGGGAGGGCCTGGCAGGGAGCTGCCAGGTGCTGCCCAGCCGGGATGTGGCCGTCCTCCTGGAAAACTATGGCAAGTTCGAAAAGGGCTACCTGATTTTCGTGGTGCGCTTCCTCTTTGGCTTGGTCAACCAGGAGAGGACATCTTATCTCGAGAAGAGGCTGAGCTGCAGGGTGTCTCAGCAGATCAGGGTGGCGCTGCTGAGGTGGATAGAGACCAAGGCCACGGCCAAAAAGCTGCAGGCCCAGCCCAGCCAGCTGGAGCTGTTCTACTGCTTGTACGAAATGCAGGAGGAGGGCTTTGTACGCAGGGCCATGGGCCACTTCCCCAAGATCGAGGTCAACCTCTCCACACGCATGGACCACGTGGTGTCGTCCTTCTGCATCAGGAACTGCCACAGCGTGAAGAGCCTTTCCCTGGGCTTTCTGCACAACTCTCCCAAGGAGGAGGAGGAGGAGGAGGTGGAAGAAGGCACGGGCCCTCCGGCTACGGGGGCTCAGAGGTGAGGGGCGGCTCTGGCAGTGGGGGATCTGCCTGCTGCTTTGTATCTTTTCTGGGTGTTACAGCCCTTCTCTCTCTTCAACCACTTCCAAATTCAGTCATCCCCCCTCCCCCGTAATGGTGCTGTTGCTTGTCTCTCCCCATCATCGTTCTGTGTCCCGTGGATAAACAGGATGAGAAGAAGCCCATGCAGGAGATATGCAGGCATAGTCGGGCCAGCGAGGTGCTGATGGGCAGGATTGCAGTCTGTTGGGAGGCTCAGGTCCCTGCCCTGATCCAGCGGGGCTGCTCTAACAGAGCACAGAGGCAGGGGCATTTAGAGGACACGGTTGATTTATCACAGTCATGGAGGCCACAGAACCCAAGGCTGAGAGGCCTATGTCTCAAGAGGGACTTCATGCTGTGTCATCCCGGGTGGAGGTGGAGGGTACAGGAGGGCAGGTGCAGGTGAGGGGTGCGGGTGAGAGTGTGGGTGAGCACGCCTGTGAGAGTGCACATGAGGATGCGGATGAGGGTGCAGGTGAGTACACAGGTGAGGGTGCAGGTGAGGCAAGGGGAGAGAGAAGTGCCCCCAGCACCAGATTATTTGCACTCACACCCTGGTTGCCTCCCACATGGCCTCCCAACATGGTGCCCTATGCACAGGAGTCTGGGATGCACTCCATGGAGCATGGGCTTCCCAACCCCCCAGACCTGGGCCACCAAGTGTGGCAGAGAGTCAGGCAGTGTGACTTAGAACACTATGCAGTGGTGGTGGGTAGGACACAGCTTACCTGGGAAGTCACCCTGGCAGATCAAGGGGAGTGGGGCTGGAGACAAGGTTGTTCACTGTAGGTGCCCATGTGAGATGTCAGATCTGACTGAATGGCTGATGTTACTGGGGTCTGAGCCTAGGGCATTCACCCATGGGTCTACTTCCTCAGCCACTGTTTGCTTGCTTGTTTATTTGAGACAGGGTCTCCCCATGTGGCCCAGGCTGGCCTCAAATTCATGGTGATTCTCCTGCCTCAGTCTCCTGAGTGCTGGGATTATAGGCCTTTTTATTTTTTATTTTGAGACAGGATCAGCCTGTATTGACTGCAAGGGCCAGGGAGGGTGGACTTCCAGGGTCAGACACAATGGACAGCAGCATCTGACTGAGCATGTTTTCCCCCCCAGCAGTGAGCTCACAGCTGCCCAGCCTCAAGGCTTGGCATGTTCACTTCTCCGTGAATGTGTCTGGATTCCTGATCACTTCCTCCCTCCTTTCTTTATTTTAGTGCTGGGGATGGAACCCAGGACCTTTGCACGGCGTTGCACCCCAGCCATTGTGGAGAGCAGGTTTCAAGAGGTTGCTAAGCTGTTCAAAGTCCTGGTCCCCTAATAGCTTCCCTTGTAACCCCAGGCCCCAGTGGACGCACACCCGTGTGCACCTGAAGCCTGGTCTGTGATCCCTTCTTTTCCCTTGTCTCCAGGTCTCCAAGCTGCTCCTTGACCCCCAGCTTCTGCCAGGGCCTCTTTTCTGCTCTGAGCACCACTTGGGCCCTGACCGAACTGGACCTCAGCGATAACATCCTGGGGGACCTGGGTCTGGGTGCCCTGTGCGAGACACTGCAGAGCCCAGGCTGCGGCATCCAGAGGCTGTGGTGAGGCGGCACTGGTGTCTGTGTGGCTGTGCCTGTGCGTGTCCCTGTGTGCGTGTGTCAGAAAGGTGATGGGATGGGATGGGATGGGAAGTCCTTCTCACCAGCTGAGGCTGCTGTCACTGGGGGAGGCTTTGGGTTGGGGCTCCTGCCTCCCCCAATTTGTGTTCCCCTGCCATACTGTGGGCACCAGCCTTGTCTCCATGCTGCTGCTCTGTGCCTGCAGGTTGGGACGCTGTGGCCTCTCCCACCAGTGCTGCTCTGACCTCTCCTCTGTGCTAAGCTGTGGCCGGAAGCTGGCAGAGCTGGACCTGAGTGACAACCCCCTGGGGGACTTTGGGGCCAGCCTCCTGTGCCAGGGCCTGGCGCACCCTTGCTGCACCCTCAACAAGCTCTGGTGGGTCACAGGCTTGGGTGGGGGGTGCTCCGGGAGTGGACTGCTGGGGGGGGGGGACACAGTGGATGGAGGGGCCGGCTGGGAAGAGGACTCTAGTGTTGGGAGCAGCAGGCTGGGAGGCTTGGGCTCTGAGGAGGAGGAAATGCACCTGGGACTGTGGGACTGGAGCACCCGCTTTCCAGCGGCTGTGACAGAAAAACAGTGAAAGTAAAGGAGGAGATAGAAAGCAGGCATGGGCCGTGGGAGACCGTGGGCTTCTGTGTGGCCATGAGTGGGGATGCAGTCATGCACAAGGTCATCTCCATTCACGGAGAAGTGAACAGGCCAGTGCCCTGGCCTGTGGTGCTGGGCAATGGTGGGTTGGGGGGTTCTGGTTTGGTTTGGGTTGGGGGATTCCAGGTCTCCCAGGCAGTGGCAGGTTGGGAGCTCTGGTTGGGTTCAGGTTGGGAGGTTCTGGTTGGGGTAGTTCCAGTTCTGGCTGAGTTTGGGTTGGGGGTTCCTGGTCTCCCAGGAGTGGCAGGTTGGGGGTTCTGGTTGGGTTTGCCTTGGGGGTTTGGAGAGTAGCTGGCAGGGTAGCACCTGACTCTCCCTCTGTGGCAGGCTGGTGAGCTGCGGCCTCACATCTGCGTGCTGCGAGGACTTGGCCTCAGTGCTCAGCACCAGCTGCTCGCTGACCAGGCTCTACATTGGGGAGAATGCCCTGGGTGACACGGGAGTCAGCACTCTCTGTGGCAAGGCCCAATGGCAGGAGAGTCACCTGCAGAAGCTCGGGTGAGTGTCGCAGCCTTGCTTCAGAAAGGAGATCGGTCTCGCCCTAGACAAATCCCAGGGAAACGGCCTGTGGCCCCAAAAGGAGAGCTCTGATGGAGCTGGGTGGACAGCAGTGTCCCAGGTGGCTCGAGGCATTGAGTCCATGAGGCACAGTCGGTGACAGATCCACACTTCCATGTCGACGGCTGGGCTCCTCTTGTCCCAGGTCCCGAGGGACTTTTGTATGGCTCACTGTAGAAGGGAGGACTGTGGAACAGACCCACCCTCATGTGCCTCACGTGGGGAGGGGTAACAGAGAGGAGCAGTCACCAGAGGAAGTGCCACGTGCATCACAGGTGCTTGCTGGACTGGGCCACTGCTCAGCTGCCTGCCTCCGCCAGGGCTGCTCTCCCCTTCTCTCCTCTGACGTCCTTCTTCGCTGCTGCTGCTGTCACCTGTCAGTTCCTCTCTGTGGGACCTGTGTTGGCCTCTGTTCCTGTGGTCTGGGGTTGCACTGTCCAGTCCCTTTTCCTACTCAGCGTTTGTGCACTGAGGTCTTTCATGTACCCACCAGCTCCAGCAAGGGCCTGCCCAGATGGCACTGCCCAAAAGGGTCTCAAACCCAGACACCACTAGTGAGATTTTTATTGTAAAAGTAACACATGCTTAGTGTAACATATGAAATAATACAGTGTAAGGTGCAAAACATGAAAGTTCTCTGCCTTCTAAGGGAATTGTTTACAACAGTCTGATGAGAAATATTTCAGACACCTTGCTATATATGAGCATCCACTCATCCATCCATCCATCCACCAATCCACCCTCCCACCCACTTGCCCATCCACCCATCTACTCACCCCTCCATCCATTCGTCTATCCTAATGTACTCTATATGTTAATTTGCCAGGGATATAAGAAAGTCGCATGGACACTGCAGTTTAGAATGACTGTCACGTGTTGTTCGTACTCCCGGGACTGCATCTGGGATCAGGGTTGGGCAGGGTTGCTTTCAGCTGAGGAGACTGTGTTCCTGGCTGTCTTCCAGTGTCTCTGCACTGGAAGAGGTTGGGTCACAGTCCCCTCAGGTCACATCTAAGGTGCTGCTCCAACTTCTGAGTTCAAGGACGCAGCTGCTGCGCAGAGGGGGCCCTGTGTTGGGAGTTGTGTGGCACTGGGGTGAGGGTAGCCTGCATGCTGAAGACTCTTCCTGTTCTTTATTTTTGGTTTTTCAAGACAGGATCTTGCTATAGCTCAGGCTGGTCTGGAACTCACTATTAAGCCCAATCTGGCATCGAACTTGCAGCGATCCTCCTGTGTTAGCCTTTTGAGTGCTGGAAGCACAAGTGTGCACCACTGCACTGGCCTCCCTTCTGTTCTCTCCACAGCTTGGTGAATTCTGGCCTCACATTCATGGGCTGCTCGGCGCTGGCCTCCGTGCTCAGGACCACCCGGAGCCTCACGCACCTGTACCTGCGAGGCAATGCGCTTGGCGATGCAGGGCTCAAGCTGCTCTGTGAGGGGCTCCTGCACCCTGGCTGCGAGCTTCGGATGCTGGAGTGAGTGTCCAGTCCTGAGGCCAGGGTGCAGGGGGCACAGAGCAGTGGGCAGTTCATGCCGTTCTGTGCCGGGAAGGGGCTCAGTCCTGGAGTTGGGGGACCAGGAAGAGCGTTTCCAGGTGCCAGGCAGGTGGAAAGCTGAGTTCTTCCCACCACTATCAGGAAGGGCTGGAGTGGCTTTGCATGTTATGGGAATTTGGGGAAAGACAGCATTTGGGAATAATCAGCAAACAAACTTCTGTTCCTAATTTGACCTGCATGATGCAGCGTACTTGAAAAAGGGACCCACATCTGAAGAGGGGAGGAAAATAGCTATGAACATGGGGCGCATGCAGCTGGTTAAGCCCAGGACTTTTTCTCTTACTTGAACTTTTTTTTCTTTTGGGTTTTTGAGACAAGGTCTTGCTCTGTAGTCCAGGCTGGTCTGGAGTTGGTGCCAGTCCTCCTGCCTCATCCTCCTGAGTGCTGGGATTGCAGGCAAGCACCTGGCTAATGCCGTGGTTTCCCTGCAGTTGCAGCACTCAGCTTCAGGTCTGTGGCCCATGGGCCTGGCTAACAGCACATTTTCTGCAGGTTGGACAACTGCAGCCTCACCTCGCACAGCTGCTGGGACCTCAGCACAGTGTTGACCTCCAGTCGGAGCCTTCGGAAGCTGAGCCTCAGCAACAACGACCTAGGCGACCTGGGAGTCACAATGCTCTGTGAGGTCCTGAGGCAGGGGGCCTGCGTCCTGCAGAACCTGCAGTGAGTGTGCGGCCAGCAAGTGGGGGACTCGGGTTGGGGTAGACCAGCTGCCCAGTCTGGGTGTCTGGGTCCTTCCGTGCAGGCTGGGGCAAAGGCATGACCTTGGGCTCTTTCCAGTGGCATCTATAGAGACAGCTAGTTCAAAACTTAATGAGCTGGGCACAGTGGCACATGCCCATAGTCTCAGTAGTTTGGGAGGCTGAAGCAGGAGGACTGCGTGAGCCCAGGTATTTGAGGTCAGTCTGGACAAACTGTGAGACTCTTCTCAAAAACCAACCAACCAATCCTGGAAATCACACTGTATGTGTGAAACAGTTTTAGAGCTCAGAGGTGTGTGGGGTTAAGGGAAATGAGATGGGAGTTGAAGACTCAAACCTGGAGCTTTCTGAAGAGTGTGACCAGCTTTCTGCATTTCTAGGTTGAACGAAATGTATTTCAACTATGAGACCAGGCATGCATTAGAGACACTGCAGGAAGAGAAGCCTGAGCTGACCCTGGTCTTCGAGCCTTCCTGGTAGGGAAGGAACAGGACCCCACCTACCTTGTCTGATACAGCACTGGGGGTGCTGCTGGCCCTGTTGGGTCAGGAGCAGAAGCTTCAGATGTCTAAGGGGGGGCCCCAGCACCTCACCCTGGGTGGAGAGGGCAGAAAGGGGACTCAGCGGGATGCTGCTGTCCCAGGGCATCTGCTCGGTGGGAGACACATTCCCTGTCCCTTTCTCTCCTCACCCCAGTTCTCTCTCTCTGGCTTCCCCTTATTTATTCCACTTGGTCCCCATCGCCATTCTTGGATCTGTTAACTGACTGTAACACAGAACCCTGCACTTTGCTGTGTTGCAATTTTGTGGCAGCTACTTATTTATTGTAATAACAATTGTGTTTTCTAATAAAAATTTCATGCTTCTTTTAGCTCATTGAAAATCCAGAAAAATATAAAACCAGTTTTTGGTATTGACTGTGAAATCGTTCACTTAATTTAAAAAAATGTGCCTTGAAATCTTTTATCTAAATTACTAATGTAGTTTACTTCCTTCACTGCTGGGATAAAATACCCAACAGCCACAAGTAAGAGGAGGAGAGGTTGATTGTGACCCACATTTACACTCCGTGGTTCTTTGGCTCCCAGGCAATGGCGCCCGAAGAGGGGCCTGTCGGAAGAGAGGTGCTCCCTGCAGGGTGCACCGCCTGTAGAGAGATAAAGGGAGTGTGTTTTGGGGGAGAGGAAGCCTCCCGAGTTTGGAGCCATAGACTGCCCCCGTCCTCGTGGACTCTTTGATGCCACCATCAGCGTATTGCAAGGCTTGGAGAAGTCGGAGCATCTGGCTCCCAGGTGAGCTGCTCAGCTGCGGTCATGGATGTGGGTCCCCGACCCCGGCTGCATCTGTGGCCTTGAGCGCTGTGCCTGGAGACCTGTGCATGCGGAGCAAGGTCTACTGCGATGGGAGCTGGGACTGTTGTGTGCTGTGTCACGGGAGCTGGAGCAGGGGACATGGACCGGGTAACAGAATGCCCACCACATCCCCCGCGAGCGGGGAGGGAACAGCTTGCTGGGTGTGGACACGGGGAGGAGCAGTGGGTGCTTTCGGGCTGGGCCCGCTGCCGGCCCAGGGCGCCCCTGCTGTCCCTACTCGTGGGCCTCTCCGGGGTCCTTGGGAAGCGTATCGCCGTCCGCGCTCCACCCTTCCGCAGGCGCCTTCACAGACCGGCCGCGCTCCGTGGGGCCGGGTCCCTCCTTGTCGTTGAGCGGCTGCTGCCCCGCTGGGGCTGCCTGACCCGATGCCTGCTTGGTCTGCGGTCCTCAGGGCTGAGCCCAGGCCGTCCACACAGTCTCCGTTCTGTCCCCCGCGGGGCCGGGTTCGGCCTATTCCGTCCCCCACGTCCGTGGCTCTCTCCTAGCTCCCAGTGCCTGGCCCCGCCCAGCCAAGCCCTGGCCTAAGTCCCGAAGTGACCTGTGTCCCGCGGCGATGGAACTGCTCAACCTCAGCCGCGCCCGGGGCTCTCCGCTGGCCAGGTGCACCGAGAACGGGGAACCGTTGGCGCGGGGACGCGGTGCGCGCACGCCCCGGCCGGGAGAAGCGCGCTGGGTTCGGGCGGCGCCCACGGACTGGCGGGGTTCGTTTCTCCAGGATTCCCCGCCGAGGGGCGCACAGGAGGGCAGCACCTGGCTCAGGGTTTAGCAGCAGCTAGTCGCGTGGTCACCTCTGGCTGAGACACCGCTTCGCCTGCGACCCTTTCCGGGCTGCGATCGCGCAGGGTCGCCGTGACAGCCGGCCGCAAGGCAAAGCACCAGGCAGAAGGCTTAGGAACTGTTTTAGCGCTGAGGCTTGGGGGCCGAAAGTCCAAACAGCACCTCAAAGGCTCTGTCCAAGGCCCAGGTGGAGGAGCAGCGAGTGGGGAGTCGCACCCAGAAACAGGTGCCGGCTCGGGAACCTCCTGAGGCGGCAGCCCGGGTAGCTGGGGACGTCCCGCTGGGCCTCACCCGAGGTCCCCTCAGCCTTTCAAGCCCTCTGCGCACCCAGGCCTTGAGGAGGCACCAGGGCCAGCCTGTTCTGCTCCCCTCTGCTCTCTGCTTCTCCTCAGCGTGGCAGGCGCCCGGGGACGCACCGAGGCAGAGGGGAGCAGGTCGCCTCTGTGATTCCTCGCAGTGTTTCCGGTTGGGTCTGCATCCTTTTATTTTTCTGCATTTCTGCACCCCACGTCACGGTGTACAGGCTTGGAGCTGTTGCCACCATGTGTGCGACGGGGCCGTCCGGCTAGCCGGGTTCTCGCTGGGGGCGGTGGGGCCGCGGCTGCTGCCTTCCCGCCCAGATTCGCGGGCGCCGTGGCGCTGCTCACTTGGGCCGCGGGCCCCGGGCCGGGCTAGGGAGGCTGGCTTCTCCCACCGACCATCCCTCAGTGCCCAGCACCACGCTCGCCTCCGGGCAGCGGGGCAGCGCCGTCCTTCCGCCCGCTTCTTCCCAGCCGTGTCCTTGTGGTCGCCACTGGCGGGGCTGCTGTGTCTCCTGGCCCGGCCTCGGGGACAGTGACCCACAAGAGCAGCGGCCCAGGCTTGCTCGCTGGCTCTCAGAGGAGGCCGCTTTCCTTCCTGTGCCTTGTAGATACGAAGCCGCGAAGACCTGGCCTAGCCGCCCGCTGCCTCACCCTGGCCTCTCTCCGTTTGTCCTTCTGCCACAAGGGCCCAGCTACACCCCCAGACTCTTTTAAAAATTGTTTTTATCAGAGTCAGTTTGCCCAAAGATGTATCTTACTTCATGGCGAAGAGTGCTCTCTCCCTGGGGTGCAGCTCCGCCTCAGAGGCTCCAGGCTTCTGCGCTTCCTGCTGTAGGACACCCCCAACCACAGCATTGTGCATGCGCCCCGAGATGCCCGCGTGCGTGGGAGGCTTGTGGATGCCTTGCGCTGCGAAGAACGTGGGGGTTTCGGTGACACCGGCGTCGGGAGCGAGGGGGAGATCAGCAAGGAGCGGCCGCTGCAGCCTAGGGCACCCATGTACCCGGCTCTCCTGGAGCAGATGAGCGGCTGTTGGGAAATTAAGAGCAGAATGGCTTGGAGAACGCGAAAAGCTGCTCTGGTTACTAAAAGACGCACTGTTGATCCCGAAGACCCTGTGGCAGCCTTGTTGGCAGAGGGCGTCACAGCGATGTGGGTGTTAAGAACGTCCCGAGGGAAGAATTCCTAACGTGGTAGAGGCCCTGACACTTCTCACTGATCATCAGCTTCACCCAGAGACATGGACTGGCCACCCCGGGAGACGCAGATTCCCTTCTCAAACCTTTCCTGACCTGAGAGGTCAAGCTCTTCCCTCCTGAGAAGGAGCAGAAAACAACGAAACTACTTTGCTTATTTGTTTTAGTACCTGCGATCGAACTGATGACCTTAGGCTTGTTAGGCAGGTGCTCTTGCAGCTGAGCTAAATCTCTTGCAACTCTGCTTATTTGTACAACTTCATTCCGTGTCCTGTTTACTTCCTCACTTTTAACCCGTTAAATTATGGAAACTACCTCGTGCCTCATGCTCCTTACTCTGAGAGCACGGGCATGTGGTTACACAGCTCTGCTGACTTTTCAGGTTGCTAATAAAGAGTATTTTTAGAAAAATCTTTAATTTGGTTTGGGCATGGTTCCTGTGTGTATGTCAGTGTGATTGATCATATCTACAAGTGTATTATAAGTGAGAAAAATAATGGATTATTTTGGGCACATGAAAACACTTTAACCGTTAAATGTTTTAAAAGTCAGGCACAAAAAAGTCACATGACTTTTGGTTCAATCGAATAGTTCTTTTATAAAAAACATGAAAGAACTAATAAGCATGAACTTATGTTTTAAAGCTGTAAATCACTTAAAACCGTTTTGCTTCATGTGAAGATCAGGAATTGCATCACCAGTACTGCTGTTTCTAAGCCATCTCCACTGTGTGTTTAGGTGCCTGACAATAGGGCTTCTGTTCTGTAACACAGCAAAGTGCTTCCGGGTCATCCTTTAGCTTACAAAACTAAAGGAATACAAAATGTAAAAGTACAAGTGAAACTAAACTACACTACACTTTCCTCTGTCCGCATGTGCATAGGTGACTTCTGAAGGCCACGGTGACTGACCCTGACTTGGGTTCCTCGAGGGGTTCCATGCTCCCTGTTGGGAGCATGTTTCCCATAGTGGTCAACTGGCTCACCGTCCCCCAGGGGCAGAAGGGACCCCTTTCTCCAAGTCCCGGTAGCTGACCTGTCTTGGTGGCCATTCTAGCTGAAGTGAGTGGTAGATTTCTTGTGGCTTGGAATTGTGGCTCCCTGATGATCAGCGATATTAAACATTTAAAAATATTCTTCTTAGTTATTTGTATTTCTTCTGTTGGGAAACATCAGGCCTTTTGTTCACGTTTAAATTAGATTTCGTATTTTTCACTGTTGAGTTGCATGTATTTCTTATATATTTTGGAGATCCACCCCTTGTCAAACAGCTTGCAAACATTTTCTCCCATTCTGACGTGGTCCTCTTCCCTCTATTCCGTATGCCTCTGCTATCCTGATGCTTTCTGAGCCATGTTCTGTTGGTCCAGTTTGGCTTTGTGGCCTGTGCTTTTGGGGTCCTCTCTAGAAGCTTGCCACCCACCTTCTCTCTGCATCCTTCTGTTAATCTCACGGGTTAAGCCTTATGTTTGGTCTTCCATTCATTCTGGATTGAGTTTCATCTACATCGAGGGTAGGGATCTAATTTCATTCTTTTGTGTTTGCATATCCATTTTTTCCCAGTACAGTTTTCCAAGAGATTCTTTTCTCTAATTTTTGTTCTTGGAAACTTCTCATAAGTGAATTCACTATAAATGTGTGAGTATATTCCTGGTCTTTCTATCCTACTAGGTGTGTATAGTGCCAGTACCATGTTATTTTGAGTGCTATAATAGCTTTGTAGTACATTTTCAAGTCACTGTAATTCTGTAGCTTTGTTCTGTCTGCTTAAGGTTGCATTGGTTATTCAGAACCTTTTGTGGTTCCATATGGAGTTTAGAAATATCTTTTCTATGTAAAGTGTACTGCTGGCATTTCCATACAGAGCACGCCGATCTGCAGATGGTGTTGGGTAGAATGGATGCATTCATTCTTCCAGCCCATGAATGTGGGTGCCTTTGGATTGGTGTCTTACTTAATATTTTAGTCAATATTTTGTAGTTTTCAGTTTGTCTTATACTTGTGTAAGTTTGTATGTAAAGAAATTTTTCTTTTGATGATATTGCATGTGAGATTGTTCTCTCATTTTCCTTTTCAGATAGTTCATTGTTCATGTATGGAAATGTAATTGGTTTTTGTGTGTTGATTTTATGCCCAATAACTTCCTGATGCATGTATTAATCCTAATATGTGTGTGTGTGTGTGTGTGAGAGAGAGAGAGAGAGAGAGAGAAAGAGAGAGAGAGAGAAAGAGAGAGAGAGAGAGAGAGAGAGAGAGAGAGAGAGAGAGAGAAAGAGAGAGAGAGAGAGAAAGAGAGAGATTCAGAGATTTAGGGTTTTGTATGTAGGAGATCTCAGCACTTACAAATAGGCAGTTGAACTTCCTGTTTTCCTAAAGGATGTCTTCATTTCTTTCTCTTGCCTAACTGCTTGCTGCTCTGGCTGGGACTTCCTCCTTTAGTTATTTACTTCTAGTTTTAGTCTTCTATAGTCAGAAAAGGTGTCGGAGGTGCAGTCTTTCATAACCTGCCGACACTTGTTTTGTGACTGAGCATGGTCCTGGAAAATAGTCCATGTTGCTCAAGAATATTCTGTGTGGCTACAGAGTGCAGTGTTTGACCTGGAAAGACCTCTGTGATGTCCAGTGACCTGCAGTGGCCTCTTCCTTGCGGTCGGGTGCTGCCCCATGGCTGAGCACGGGGCACTGTCACTGCCCCACTTGTGTCAGTAAATGTGCATATACATGATTTTTGATGAACTCTTATTGTTGTGTAGTGTTTTACTCATGATTTTCACTTAAAATCAATGTGTTCTGATGTGCACATGGCCATGCCATCCTCTTGCTTCCCTTTTAGCCTGGGTGTCCTTATTATCTGTCCTTTTAAGGGTGCTCAGGCCACTTCTACGTCAACTATCACTGAGACAGAAAAGGCTCTCATGACTGTCTTCTGTCTGACAGCTCTGTTCCCTTTACTCTCTCTTACATTTCACTTATTTATTATACTGACCCGCACCAAATCCTTCCTTTGCCTTTTTTTTTCTTTGGGTCTTCTTGAAACAAGATATCACTATGCAGTTCAGGCTGGTCTTGAACTCACTTTGTAGCCCAGGCTGGCGTCAAACTTGCATCAGTGCTCCTGCTTCAGCCTCCCAAGTGCTGGGGTCACAGACATGTGCCATCATGCCTGGTTCCTCCTTTTTCTAAGGTACTGTCCAAAGCTATTTTCGTGGTAATTACAGTGAGAATTATATAAGTTGACTTAGTGATAGCAACCTATTTAATTTAAATTTTTTATTTTAAAGAGAATAAAGCCAAGCAAAATAAAACAGAATAAAGCTAATCAAATCAATGAAAATGACACAGGACAAAATAATAGGGAATTAACCATGGCCACCACCTTCAGAAGGAGTCCTCAATAGATGCTACATTGCATATTGTCACCTACTGATTAGATGAACAGACTACTGGCTTTAGACCTGCTGAATCAGTGAAACACTGGACACTACAAGCATTAAATTGTGTTTTACGTCACGTACTATCATTGCAGCCTGTATTTCTCTGGATCAGCTGGTTGTTTACTGATGGGTTGGGTTGGGGTGGTGGGGTTTGGCTCTTGCTTCCCAGCCTAGGCACTGGTGAGGGCTGGGGTCTGGCTGTTCCTCCACCAGTACCAGCCTGAGTGTGGCACTAATTTGCAGGGAGGGCTTGCAGTCTGCGAATGGCACAGACGCATGGATACCAATTTGTTTCAAAGGGGACAGAAACTGGCTTGTATGCACGATTTTGTACTTTAATTCTTTTCCCACAGTTTGTTTTTGATGTCATGAATCACATCTTTTACTGCTGCTTATTCATTCCATATCATGGAGTTATAGCTTTTGTATTTCAGCTTCTGTACAGAAAGTCGTCAGTGTACCTTTCCTGAATTGTGCCGAATCCCATGTTTTTCCGTTTATTGTGTCCAGATGCAGCCTTTCTGGGATTCACTGCACTTTGTGAAGTTCCATCCATTTCTGTGCCAGTTTTGGGGCCTGTGCTGTGCCCAAAGCTGTGCCCCTGGCCCTACACTTTATATGTAACCTTTGTTCTTCTCATTGTCTGACTTCAAGTCTCTTTTGCTCCAGGTTCGTGAAGGATTTCATTTGTTTGATCCAGTCTTCATTTGGACCCTCTAATTAATTTTTCATTTAAATAATTGCATTCCTTAGTTTCTAACCTTATTTGGTTCATTTTTATATTTTCTGTATGTTTTTAAAAAACCTCATTTTGTTCACGAACTGAAGACTATTTTAAGACCTTTGTTAGACAATTCATAAATCTCCCTTTATTTATGATATCTGGGAAATCTCTTTTTCCTGTGTTTGGGCCATGCTCCCATTTCCCCATCTTCCTTGTGCCTTTGTGCTGGAATCCAGACTTTTGAGAACAGAAACAACATAAACACACAGTGACAGACGCTGCCTTCTCCAAGCCCCTGGAACTCGCTGTGAGGATGGCTATAGCAGGCAGCCCGTGGGCGTCGCTGGACTCTTGCCCTGTGGTGGCAGGTCTGGGGGTCTGTGCAGCTCCAGCACAGGTTGCACAGGGGTCTAGTTTAGGGCTCTCCCTGCCAAGTCTTTCCAGGGTCCCACAGGTTCCCTGCAGCAGCGGCAGCCTGCAGTGGTCCCAGGTGTCCACAGGGTGTCGCCAAAGGAATACAGAATGTTCCAAGTATTGCATCTCACTATAAAACGTTTCTAATTTTTCTCTTGCCTGCTATTTGTTTAAATGGACCGTCTCCAGCTTCGCTTTTGCAGCACTCTGCCACCCTTGTAGGAACTCATAGCTTCAGGCTGAATGTCCTGCATCCTGTGCTCATGGTGCCTGTTGCAGACGACAAGTGTGTCATTGCACTTCCCTGTGCTGGGTCAGGAGGTCAGCGGCAGGTCCAGGACAGCCTGTGCTGGCAGTGATGGGTGTGCGCCTCCCTGTGGGGCTGTCCAGCCCTGCCATCCTTCCCTGGTGCCTCGGGCATATTCTAGAATGTCGTAGAACCTCTTGGAGATGGATATCCATGAGAACACTGTGTGTTATACGCTTACTTTTCAGTGTCCCCCTCTGTAATCCTGGGAGTAATGGGAAAGGGAGAAAGAAGCTTGAAAACACAGAAGTGGGAGAAAAGCAGAAGCCTGGAAAGAGGGAAGGGGAGAGAACGGGGCATCAGGCTTCCATCAGCAGGCGCTTCCTGGGCATTGCCAAGAACATCCGGTCTCTCAGCATGCAACGTAGGACCCGACCTCTTTTCTAGACAGGAGCTCTTTGCCACTGTGACCGCATGGAAGGAGTAGTGTCAGGTGGGGTTTTGGACATGCCTGTGGACTCCCCGGCACCAGGTGCTGTGGCACATGGGACCCTGTGTGTTCCTCACGAGGTCCAGGGCCACAGCGGGTGATGCTCAGACCCTGCACAGCCTGCAGGCCCGCTCCAGGAGCCTCTGAAGGGCGCCCTTCACGTCCCTGTTTCTCAGTGTGTAGATGAAAGGGTTGAGCGTGGGGGTGATGATGGAGTAGAAGAGGGAGATGAACTTGGCCTGCTCCTGTGAGTAGCGGGAGGGGGGCTGCAGGTACATGTAGATGGCAGGCAGGTAGAAGAGTGACACCACAGCCAGGTGGGAGGAGCAGGTGCCCAGGGCCTTGTGCCGGCTGGAGGAGGCTCGGATTCTCAGCACCGCGCGGGCGATGAGGCTGTATGACAGCAGGATGAGGGCCAGGGGCACCAGCACGAAGAAGGCCACCAGCACTGCCAGCGTGGCATCGTTCGCGGCTGTGTCGGCGCAGGACAGCTTGATCATGGCCGGCACCTCGCAGAAGAAGTTGTTCAGCTCACGCCGGCCGCAGAAGGGCAGCTGTGCTGTCAGCACCACTTGCACCAGGGAGTTGCCGAAGCCGCTGAGCCAGGCCAGGGCCACCAAGCGCCGGCAGAACCTGTCGTGCATGATTAGGGTATAGCGCAGGGGCTGGCAGATGGCGGCATAGCGGTCCAGGGCCATGGCGGCCAGTACCACGCATTCTGTGCAGCCCAGCCAGTGGAAGACGGCGTACTGCACGGAGCAGCCGCCAAAGCTGATGGTCTTCTGGGCCGTGCCCGTGTTGACCAGCATCTGCGGCACTGTGGTGGTGGTGTAGCAGAGGTCCAGGAAGGACAGGTGGCCGAGGAAGACGTACATTGGGCTGCCGAGGCGGGGGTCCAGCCGGGTCACCAGGATGATGGAGATGTTCCCCAGCATGGCCAGGATGTAGGACACCAGGAGCACCGTGAAGAGGGGCAGCTCCAGCCATGGGCGGTCAGAGATGCCCAGGAGGATGAAGTCCTCAGGGGGATGCTCCGGGAGACTCTGGTTGTCTTCCCTCATGGCGCGGCATGTCGGGCCCCTGTGGAGGGTCGGACATGCTGGGTGAGAACTGCTGAGTTGCCGCTGACCGTCCCAGCGCTGACCTCTAGCCCTGCCCAGCCCGGGACCTGACCTGGGGTTGTTGCTGCCTGCACCATGCCTGCCCTGAGACACTCAGCTCTCCTGAACTTCCCTTCCTGCCTGGGGAGGGGAAGATGTGCTGGCTTCTGGAGCCGACAGGGGACAGTGCGTGGGCGAAAGCCCCTCCCACCGCGTGGGTGACATCTTCCGTGATGTTGGTCGAGCCACGGACCACTCAGTGGCAGGGAGAGGCAGTTGGCACTCTCCCTTGCCTTTGGGGGTAGGGGTGGGCGAGCGGGGGACGACGACACCAGCAGCAGGGGCTTCCTATGTGGTGTCCCCACTGGTCCCAGCTGGCATCTGGCCCCAAGGGGTCTCGACCCCTGGCCACATTCATCTGTTCTCACACGCATGAGCAGGTCTTACATGATGGAGCAGGAATGGCACAGCAGCATTCTCCATGCTCCGGGAGAGGGCAGGCAAGCCGTACCACACCCTGCAGGGCCCGGCCGCCTTTCCTCCCAGTGACTGCTGGGTATAGGAAGGAAGCCGTGGACCCCGGCAGGCCTCTGGGGTCGGGCAGAGCCTGAGTTTATCTCACCCTGGGTGGTATTTGGTTCCATGTGCAGCTTCTTTGCCAGGCGACTGTCGGCTCTGCTCCTGGGAGGACACAGGTGATGTGATTCTCAACCCCTCTGCTGCCACTGGGCTTTTAGGGCCCCCTTTTATTTTTTTTTGAGATGGGTCTCTCTGTGTTGTCCAGGCTGCACATGAACCACAGCAGTCCTCCTGCCTCAGCTTCCGGAGAGCTGAGATTACAGCTTTTTTTTCTTGTTTTTTTTTTTTTTTTTTTTCTTTTGATACAGGATCTCCCTATGTAGTTCAGGCTGGCCTTGAGCTCACTATGTGGCCCAGGTTGGCCTTGAACTCCCAGCAGTCCTCCTGCCTCAGCCTCCTAAGTACTGGGATTACAGGTGTGTACCATCAGGCCGAGAGAGATTACTGCCTTCATGGCCTCTTTCTATGGAGGTCCTTGGTCCCAGCCCCGTCAGCATTATCTGCCGCTGCCACGCCCACGAAGGGCTGCGCCAGATAGGAGTGAAAGGAAGTGAAGTTCTGACTGTGCAGGTCATTTAGGAAGCTCTAGATTTGGGGTTCCTGCTCTGACCAGATGGAGATCTGCCTGTTTATGTGTTGCTGCGTGAGTGCTCAAACAGGCAGTTACGGGGTGAAAACAGCTCAGACCTGGCGCTGAGGGCTGCAGGGCACACCTCTCCTTTCCCCACTGAGGTCTCAGGGCCGAGCACTGCTTGCCCTGAGGTTTCCAACAGGACAGTCCTCGCCCTCGGGATACAGTTCTGCAGCACAGCACGGTGCCTGCCGTCAAGTGTGAGGTTGTGAGTCAGTCCTGGTATCAAACATGCGGACTCCACCATCGACCCTCGCATGGGTCTGTGAATTGACCGGAGGAGGAAACTGCAGAGCCTGGTCTGCTCTCCAGCGCTGCAGGCCCTGCTCTGCTCCTGCCCGCTGGCGCCCACGGACAGGCTCCCTGAGGCCCCTCGCCCACCTTCTGAACGGTTTGCAGTTTTGAGATGGGATCTTACCAAGTTGCCAGTCGCCCAGGCTGGGCTCTAACTTGTGATCCTTGTGCCTTGGCCTCCCGGAATACTGGGCTGATGGTGGGAGCCACCGTGCGGAGCACGAGCAGGTGAGGTGTTCAGACCCATCTCCCCCGCAAGCCGTGTGCGGGGTGAAGCCCGGGTCCCTAGGAGCGCTGAGCGCACCTCCCACCGTGCTTCCCGGGCCCCAGGTGCTGATTTCAGCTTTTCCGTCGGAGCCCAAACTGGGGAAGGAGGCAGGAAGTCGCAGGGACAGGAGGCCAGAGACAGGCAGCAAGGGAGAGGCGGGGAGGGCAAGGCCCGGCCCCAGGAGAGCCGGCCTGGTGGGACAGAGGGCGGGGTGGACAGCCGCTGGGCCAGGCCCGCCGCGTCCGCTCTGCGGCAGACCCTGTGCGCACAGCGCGTGGGTCTCAGGAGACGTGGACGACGCGTGCGCTGGGGGCTGTCGCGGGAGCCAGCGGAGCCGGGCACACGGCGGGAAGAGGCGGACGAAGCCGCGAGGTGGCGTTGTATCGCCGGGAAGAGGCCGGGGGAGGCCGGGAAGAGACCGAGACGGAGCTGCGCGTCGGGCGCAGAAGCAAAGCAACCCCAGGTCCAGCTCCGCGCTGCCGCGGCGCTGTCCCTCTGCGCACGGCACCCAGACAGGCATCATTTTCCGTTTTTCATACTTTGTAAGTTCCTAATCCTAGAGGTGATGGAAAATATGATAACGGTTAAAAAAAAGTCTTCAAGAAAGACACTGCCACGGGCTCCCTTCTGATCTATTTTCTGAAGCGGCTCTTTCCGGACTGTTTTTACAGGCCTGATCAATAGAACGGTGACTTCCCAGCGTCCTCATCCACCCGGGTCCTTGGACCTGGCACCCCCATCCTGGCTTTTCCCAAAGTCACAGAAAATCGGTCAGGACGTGGGGGCAGGCAGGACAGTGCCACCATGCACACGCTGGAGAGGGCCACGGGGCCCGCGGCGAAAGCGGCAGCAGGATGGGCGCGCTCCAGCGAGGGGAGGGAGGGCCTGCAGGAGTCCACGCTGCCCTGCGCCCTTATTCCTGCTGAGAGTTTGACGGATTCCTGCACTTCCCTGCACTTGGCCGCCTGCAGTGCGCTCGCACTGCGAGATAAGTACACACCTGCTCAAGGCTCTGGACAGATCCACCCCTGCGCCGTCCTCCACACCCCTCTCTGGTCCCGGTAATCCGTGCTTTACACTGCGGTCCCCTCTTCTGGAAACACGTGATGCCTGTCCTGCGCTTCTGACCTACTCCCTTCACGGCGCCTCCTCCAGCTCCCAGTTGCTGTAATGGGCAGGCCTTGCCTTCTTCATGGCAGAAGGCTACTCCACAGCTTGTGTTTGCTCCTTTTCTCCACCCGGCCACTTGCTGAACGCTCTGGGCCGGTCCGTCCGCTTCTGCACTGTCCTGAGGGGCGCTGCAGTAAACGCAGGTGTGCAGGGGTCCGTCTGGATTGTGCACTTCGTTCCCACTGGGTGCACAGGAGTGGGGGGAGCCCGCCGGCGCCAGCTGGTTCTGCCCAAAGGTATGGGGGCCTCCGGCCTGCTCCGAGTCCCCGAGGGAGCCACAGGAGTGACCTTGCTGACCCATTCCCTCCAGCGACCAGCTCGGTATGGACAACTGCAGTCCAGCCGGGTTGGATGGGGTGCAAGGCGGCCACAAAGAGTGTTTCCCCACCACTGTCCTTTAGCGCCCATCCGCATGCACATGCACATGCGCACACACCCACCACTTGGCGCACATGCCCACAGGCACGCACACACGCACAGAACTGGGCTTTGCGTCCGGGGCTTAGTCCAGCTTTTCTCCTGGAGCTGGGCTGGCGGGGCCCTGCACCCTGTGACCTCTTCTTTCTCATGCCCTCATCAGGGTGCAACCCAGCCGCAGCCTCCCTGCTGGGTGAACACGGGGTTCAGGGTCTCTGAGTCCCCCACTTGCTTCCAGACGGTCTCTTGTGTCCCTGCAGAGGCCGTTGGCTCACCAGGGTGTGGACCCGGCGTCCTGCAGCCCCGGCCGAGGGCACCCAACACTCTGGAGATGCTCATGGGCCCAGTACGACCATCATCTCGGAGCCTTTGGTTTTTTTCTTTTGGCTGCACTTGGCATTGATCCCAGGGCCTTTATAGTGAGCGACAATTCTAGGTCTTCTTTAAAATTCTGTTTACTTATCATTTAGGGACAGGATCTCACTAAGTCACTAGGTTGCCAGGGTTGGGTGCAAATTTGGGATCCTCCTGCCTCAGCCTCCCAGAGTGCTGGGCTGACAGGTGTGCATCAGCCTGCCTGGCTTGGTATCTGCCCGTGGGTGGCCTCTGTCTGTCTGACAGTGCTGTTGAGCCCTGCGGGACTTGCTACAGTGTCCTGTTCCCTGACCCACCCTGGACTTTCCCACCTGTGCCCCAAGGGTCTGTTCCTGAGTCCAAAATTCAGCTCAACTCCCTACGGGCCCAGGCTTGGCTGTCACCTTCACTGTTTCTTCTCACTGCAGGAGTCTGGGCGGAGTGCTGGGTGGGAGGGTGCTGCTTTCTGGGGCTGACTGAGCCAGTGGTGTCCCCTCTCTTCGTTTGTGGTGCTGGCCCAGAGGAGTCCTGTGCTGCCACCCCCGAGTTCACCCTTAGGCACCTCTGTCCCTCCTCTCAGGTCACAGCCTGAGTGGCTCCTGCTGCCCATCTGCCCTCCTGCGGGTGAGGACAACTGTGTCTGGGCCACAGTCTCCCCTGGGTGGTTTAATCTTAATCCTGTGGAAATCCCTGACAAACCTGACTTTTCCTGACAAACCTGGCAGGGACTTGCCTGGGGTGATGCCCAACCCTCTGCAGTTTCTGGTGTCCCAGAGGCTTGTGCAGCCTCTGAAGGCGGAGAGGTGACACCTAGGGGTTAGGGGCAGGCTGGATGGAGGCAGCGGTTTAGCTCTGCTTTCACTTGAAAGAAGAGGGGAGAGGCTCCCTCTCTGAACCCTGAGGTCCCAGCCAGGTTCCCCACTGTGAGCATGTGGGACTGGAGGGTCTGAGAGCTCCTGTCCTCTGACAGCCAACTCAGCCCTCGTCCTCCCTGACCGCTGCTGACCCTGGGTGGCAATTGTGAGCACAGCACCCCTCCTTCGGTGTGGTCTGGTAGGAGGGTGACCCTGATCTAGAGAGGATGAGACGCTGGCTTTCTGTCCCCGGGCGTGGGCTCCTCCCCACAGTGTGATTTGACCTGATAAGGGGTGGGGAGGGTAGAGAGGGGCTGGGAGAATGTGTGGGAAGGGACGCCAGGCCCTGGGTCTCTTCTGCTGTGGAGTCCCACCTGTGGCTCACGACTCTAGGGCCGCCCCCACCCTGGGGTCTCATTGGCTCTGTCCACCACCTGCACCCTGCTGGGCTCTGTGTACCTCAGGAGGGGGATGTGGGAGCAGTAGGACAGGACCAGGGGCAGGACCTGGCCACGCACTCTAGGGACCTGCTCTGAACTTGGCTGTCTTCTGGCCTGGACGCAGGCACTCTGCTGCTTGATGGGTCCCCAGCCTCATCCCCACATCTCCACCCCAGGCCCCTGGTCTGTGACAGAGTCCAGCTGTGCTGTCCCTGCCAGAGGGGGCTGGCCAGTCCCTCAGCCTCCCCACCCACCCTGGACCTGCTCTCAGCCTGTGACACGGTGTGGTGGCCTCCTCACCTGCCCGGCCGGGT